GGCAGAAGAAATATTTATAGATCGGAAAATCCCATGATGCACATTTTTAACTTTAACTATATTGATAAACAAGTTTTGTGCTAATCATATACATGTGAAATAAATATTTGTGGATGATCCGGTGTTAACAGTTATTAAAGTTTTACAGATTTTATGTTCCTCATTTGAAATTTTGGGGTGTATAGCTTATCACAAGCTAAAATCTTCAAAATGGCATTATATCACAGATACTAGAATTCTGTGATTCCGCGTCGCCGCAGAAAAACTGGAGAATTTGGGTTTCCAAAATTATTCATAAAGCTTACATATGGCCATTGACTTGATGTAATAGATACAAAAAGATGCATGTTTTAGCACCTACATGTAAAGGTTATTTAACTTGTTTTGAACTTCAACTTTAGCATAATGAAAAACAAGTTTTGTGATAATCATATGTATGTGAATCAATATTTGTGAATGATCTGGTGTTAACAGTTATTGAAGTTTTACAGATTTTAAGTTCCTCTTTTGAATATTACTGCTTAATGTGTTAAGTAAGGAAGATGAGGGGGTGTGTTAGCGTATCACAAGCTAAAATATTCAAAATGGCATATCTGATATGTTACAAATATTATGGGAAATTACTTTAATTTTGAAGGTATATTTGTTAATGGTGTTACAATTATGTCATTCAAACATATCATGAAAGCCAAACTGGTAAACAGTATATAATGTAACTTTAAATTGTCTTGAGAACAAAGGAAAATGACAATGCCAGGTCATTACCCGAACGAGTACATTCAGACTTGTATCGTATATATTCGTGTTACGATCACTTCGTATTTAAAGGTTATGTCACTATATGATTGAAATGAGTTTAGAAAAATTGCTCGCGCAGTTTTATCTTCGATTGATTAGTTATGACGTCAGCGCCTTGACCAATCAGAAAGTTAGCGGACGCGGGCTTTTCAAAACATATTGGCCCGCTGTCTTGTGTACACTTTGCACTATACATCATCATAGGTATGTTATAAGTTCGCTTAAATCCAATGGCTTTCTATTATTGACTATGATAGCTTTGTGAATAGGGCCTCATGTTTATTTTCAAACAAGAACTACAAAACAGTAACCTCTAAACACCTTGGTTGGACAATCGATCCTTATTTACCATTTTTACTGAAAAGATCATCAAAGCTTATAATCCTTAGTTATGTAAACAAACTGAGTAATAAGGATTGGTAGTCCACCCAGGTTGTAAATATATAAGAATGGGGATGGGGTACCTACTTACCAAATATAAACAAGATTGCTCAATCATTCTTATAGCTTCACATATTTGTGCAAAACTTTTTGAACATCTTTAATTCCCTAATTCCTAAATAAACATAACACTGTGTTGTTGATTTACCATTTCATGTATATTGTCTTACAAAAAGATTTCATTACAAAATATGTTTACTTTTTACAGTGTGTATAGTGGCACATTTAGTACAGTTTTTTTGCTGTTTGCCCATGTGTAATGTCTATTAAAGAGGCAGCAAAGAATTGACAGATTTGAGAGAAGCAATAATTTTATGATATATGGCAAAGCAATCCAAACTGTCTCTTTTTTATCTGGGAAATAATTTTAGATAACTGATCAAATATGGAAGTAAGAATTTTCAGATTCATCAAATTGGAGGAGGGGATGTCATTTTGTAAGGAATTTTGCTTAATAACCATAGAAATGAAAGTATTTTTCTGAAAAAACATCTGAATCAGATTCTCTAGAAAACAACAATGGCCACGAATTCTGTAATGTTTTTAAAAATTGATGACAATTTATCAAAATGGTATCCTTAACTTGCCTCCTTAGTTGCCCCTTTAATTAAACATTTCATCTGAAGCTGCTTTATTAACATAAGCATGATTAGTTAACAACAATGATTCCTTAAGGTGTGCAGAATTGGACATCTTTGTGATCTGTTTCAGCATGGCATCACAATAACTTAATATAGCTAAACACTCTCCTTGTCTTTCCTTAACATACTGTCTCGTTAGATAACTTGTCATGCTTGTGTCGTAAAGAGCTCAATCATTTAACTTTTCAAGTTGTACACAGACATTACTTTCACAATTCAAGTATGACAAAAAAGATATGTTTTTAAAATATAGTCAAAAATCAATTTTGATTTTTTTATTTCATTTGTATGCCTGTGTATATTCTCATACATATCTACAAGTGCATATCCTCTTACAACAAAGCCACTGATAATAACAAAGCTCACATTATTCTCGCAGGACAAGCCATTTCTGTTGATTAAGTCATTTTTAAATTGGAAAATATGTTATGAGTTATGTGTTTAATATACCCGACCTTAAAAAAACAGAAATAGTGAACTATTAAACCGACCAAATGGCACCATTGTAAGTGACCAAATGGTACCAATAGAAATCACCAATTGATACCATTTGTCAAATCACCGAGGAATAATAGTTGATATGCACCAGTTGGAACCATTTGAAAATCTATAATTCATTGTTTTGAAACCAATCATGTACATCTAGATCTTACGTTTTAATGTCGGTTTTGACCAGCTCCTTATTTATTCATTTCATTAAAAACGTTTTTCTTTTATCAGTCACAATTATCAAGATACAGATAATCTCAACATTCATCATAGAGATTGCATTTTTTGATTTATAATTCATTTAATTAATTTAAGCACAAATATTATTTAAATTCTCAATCAATATGGGAAGAATAGAATAAAATTTTATTTTTACAATGTATGATATTTTATAGATGATATACAGCAATATAAATGTGCCATTTATATATATAATGTGGCCAATAGATCTTTACTATACTACTATGCTGTACATATATGTAGATAGATAGCTTTGTACTCTCATTTTTAAGCCTAGCTACTAATATACATATTTCTTATTTACAATTTTGAATATATTTGTGAATGTGGAAATAGAAATTTGACGCTCTGGACTATAATTATCTGTCGGTGATGCTGAATATGAAATAACAATGGTCCTAAAGGCTTCACTCATACACACAGAGTTTAACGCAGAGGAATGCGAGTGAAATACATGAAAATGTGCTAGGTAGATACAGTGTATGTGGTGAACTAATTTGTATATACAGAGAAATTGAAACAGTGGCTTATTTTACACAGAGCAGTCAATAAGTGCCGATAAAAAGCTGTTTTATCAAAATCTATTGAATGCAATGTACTTTTAACCTAATGGTTGTCTCAAGTGGTTTGTATATCCATATTATTAAAAAATAAATCCATCTATACATACAAGGGTGTTTACGCTCCAAGGTATTAATAGCTCTATAATAGGGTTACAAAATATATCCAAATAAGCATTCTAAATAATTCTACTTCTACGTTCAAAAAATAATAAAAATAAAAAGCTTAAGATACCTGATATTTTTCTGAAAAATCCAGGCTCGAATTTCTTTTATTTTTAATTCACTAATAAACTATGTTGTTAATTTGTTCATAGCTGAAAGACAAGCTTTATTAAAAAATTGATAACTCATTCATAAATGGGATCATAGAATTTCTTATCTGTCTGAAGACTCTAATTGCACTAATTACTATCGAATGAACAATATTTGGCAATATGGGGTAACGCCCTAAGTTCCTACGTGCAAATCTTAATATTTATTAATTTTGTAAAGCTGATAATTTAGACACAAAGATATTATTGAAATATGAATGAAACGTGAGAAAATATAATATGATTTGAAACCAGTTGAAAATTATATTTCATAACTGTTGTTTTATAACTGTTATACCATATTAGGGTCCTGGAGTTCAGGTTGATGTAAATATACATAGCATGAGATTACAAAAGTATATGTAAATGTTGTGTACATCTTTGCCTCTGTCTTTATCATAGAAGCGAATGATAGGAAACTATTTCTAGAAAATACCATGAACACAATTGAATTTCATTATATTACCATAACTGTATTACTAGTATATAAGAAAGTTACCATTCTCAAACCTTGATATAGAAATATTTTTGAGAATCACAGCCTAAGACTATGATAAAACATTGATCGATGCGAATCACAAAAATTTCCGTTCTACATTGATGATGCCCTGGCCAACAAACTTCATGAACACACATCTGAGGATAAAGTGTTTGAATCGAATAAGAAAGCATAAGAAGATTTGAGTTGGATTTTGAAATCTCAGTCCAGGCCAACATACATTCTTCATGAAAACACATTTGAGGAAAAAGCTCGAATCAAATGAGAAGGCGTCAGAAGATTTGAGCTGGATTTTGAAATCTCTACTCTGGTCACTAGACTTCATGAGAACTATTCTGAGTAAAACATATTTGAAGCAAATAAAGAGATAGGCAATGAGAGTTTGCAAAATGAGCTGTCTATAAAGACTTCTCTCTGTTTAATAATAATGTAAAAGCTTAATAGTACACCCCCAATCTGCGCTCTGAAATCACGATACTGTACATTACATTAAGAGTATGGCACCATATGGTAACGCTTGAGAATGGTGTCGTACAGTGTTCACGATACCGTATGGTGCTAGTTTACGGTATTGTACAGTACCGTATGATACTGTAGGAGATTAGCTGTGTAGGTATCTCAATAGATAGCTAGCCATGATATTTGATTTAAGGAACCTGAAGGGCTTGAGGTAACATGTTGTTGAATCTTCAAATCTCATATATAGTAGAGAACTAATTCACATCTCTGTTACAGAATTCACGTCAATACATCAATATACATCCAGCAACAAAGTTAGCTGCATGTAAAAACATTTAAGAAAGTTATATAGGGGTTGTGAGATGACATCACCTTTTAAAATCCAGATCAAGCAAATCTAGGATATACATGTTATGTTTAGTGTTGCCTTTATGTTGGACAAAGGAGTCATTGAATAAACTCCATCTGTGGTTTGGTGCAGACTGATATTTTGACGTGCTTCCTTGTCAGGGAATCATTAACAGAAACTTCAAAAAAAGTTATGAATTCGTAAATGAATTGTTGTAACCATGGATATATTGACATCACAGTTAGAGAACGATTGACTTTACGAATTCTTAACTTTACAAAGTTTCTATTAATGGCCCCCAGTAGCTTAATTGGTCCCCAAATTTTAGATGCAAAAATCAGGAAGTGAAATACTGTAAATCATGCAGAACAACTTAGCCTAACTTTAACAAAAAATACTCCTAATAAAAACTAAAAATTCAAATGTAAATCTGTAACTTAAATATTGCAATTTGATGTGCTGAAGTTTCATTCACCATGGTATACAGGGTCAGTAAATGGCCAAGGCAAATATAATTACATGTAAATAAATCAAAATAGGCTCCGGAAAGATAAGATAAAGAGCATACGATGCTACTGTTTGAGTTTCAGTTGCAAATATAGTCTGAATATATTTTTCTGTGTAATTTTGCTAAGGCAGTTGCTTCGTGCCTTGCTACTCCCATGGTATACATCGCCTCAGTTTTGGCAAGTCAGGAAATGTTGCGAGAAGTGATAGAATATTATATTATATCTGACAATGGATTTCACGTTCATATCCTCTTCAAGTATTTTGCGCTAATTCCTGCATGGCGCTTCATTCAAGTCCTTTTATGGGTTTATCCATAAAATAATGTTCATGATTGAATGAAACATTGTATCATTGGAAGTGTCCATTATTTATAATCCTTAACTAAACCTACCCTGCCACCCCTCGTTCCTGGTTATATCTAATTTTCAATGCCATGTAAATAGAGGGAGTGTCCATGTTGGGAGGGGTGACAGGGTAGACTTGCCTTAAACCTCTGTGGAAGTCTTGGGCTTGTTCTTGCCACGTCTTTGAGCAAGAAGTGATGCACCAACTGGCTCTAGTGCTGCGCGAGGACTGTTGTTGATTGCCTTGTATGTGGCCTTCATGGCACCCTGGAAGCACAATCACAATGAAGTTAGACAATCATGTACTTTTTAGCATAATCAGAATTTTGGTAGCACAATCATGGACTTTCTAGCATAATCAGGATTTTGATAGCACAATCATGGTATCATTAGCACAATCAAAAGTTGGTTAGCACAATCAAAAGTTGGTTAGCACAAGAACGGCATTGGTAGCACAATCACAAAGTGGGTTGCACAAGTACAACAGTTTTAGCAATCAAAGAGTCATATTTTAGTCTACAATACTTTGATATGATCATGAATGATAAGCTAACTCTTAACTTCACAAGGATAACTGTATTACCATTGAGACAAAAATCTAAATTAAGTTATCCCAAATCACATTTATTACATTGATTACATCTATCAGTTCAGACATCATTTCATTCATAAAAACAAACTACTTTATGAACAATTTATCAGTCTAACCCTGGCAAAAATCATACAGTTGTTTAATGATCTCACAATGAAAGCATCCTCTTACAATTAAGTATACAAATTCCAGGATTCTCTTAATATTCAATATATTCATTGTTTGAATTTTAATTCAAAAGTTTCATCTTTTTGTTTCAATTTAGGGGTCTATCACAACATTTGGTTGAATACTAGCTTAAATTGATGAGTACAATTTATTCATAGCAGCTTATCCAAACTAAATAGAAAGACTGGTTGATGATTAGTCTTATATCACCCTGGACGAAGTGATAAGGTCAAAACAAGTGGCTCCGGTTTAGGAAAATACGATCTTCCTAAAAATAAACATTGCAGAGCAGGGGTGAGTTTATTTCTTTAAATTATACCCTTTATTGGCCACATGACATGTTCAAACTCGGTACATTGATCCAAGACATATCCACCTCTCTCTATATAATATTGTAACGATTAATACTAAGAAACGAAATGAATACGAATTGAAATAATTTACTTTTTTAAATAACCGCAATATTTTTTTGGATTATTTTCGAAAAAATGGTAGATACTCTGTTTCAAATCCATTGATATTTGGCGATATGATAGTTTATGAACCAGGGAATGTCATATCACTATTATTTTTCTAATACATGTAGTAATTTACGTCCCTGAGACGAGATTAGAATTATTTTCTGGAAAAAACGCGGTTCCGATTCCCACAGAATATATGGAAAATACGTGGAATGGATGTCTAATTAATCACTTGTTTACTTTCAGCTGTGTAGGCTTCCAAATCAATAATCGCGTCTTTTCCTCAAATGTTCATCGTCGGGAGTAAAACAATAGGCATCACATCAAATTGAAATAACTGTCGATGCTGTAAATGCACATATGAAAAGAAACATACAATCTCGGTGTGCATGAACGTTTATATGCATCATTGATCATCAATGAAAGATATTTTGACAATATAAAATCGTAATTTTTAGCGGGAGATATAATTCTCAACTTTAATTTACACTCCAGCCACTAATGCGCGTTCCATTCAATTTAAAACACACGAACTGAGTAGTTTAAGATGTACCACTTGAACATAATACAAAATTGTATATGATTCTCCTCTTTGTCCACAAGAATTTAACCTTACAAAAATTGGGGTACTAAAATTATTAATTTTTAGGAAGATCGTATTTTCCTAAATCGGAGCCACTTGTTTTGACCTTATCACTTCGTCCAGGGTGTATATGAAGTCATGTGCTGTTTCCTCTTATTGTCTAGTGGAACAGCAAGAAGGGGGGGGGCAGTTGAACAGTGTGGAGGGGAACCAGTTGAACAGTGTGGAGGGGAACCAGTTGAACAGTGTGGAGGGGAACCAGTTGAACAGTGTGGAGGGGAGGGGGACCAGTTGAACAATGAGGGGGACCAGTTGAACAGTGTGGAGGGGAACCAGTTGAACAGTGTGGAGGAGAGGGGGACCAATTGAACAGTGAGGAGGAGAACCAGTTGAACAGTGAGGAGGGGAGGGGGACCAGTTGAACAGTGGGGGGGGAGGGGGACCAGTTGAACAATGAGGGGGACCAGTTGAACAGTGTGGAGGGGGACCAGTCGAACAGTGTGGAGGGGGACCAGTTGAACAGTGAGGAGGGGAGGGGGACCAGTTGAACAATGAGGGGGACCAGTTGAACAGTGTGGAGGGGAACCAGTTGAACAGTGTGGAGGAGAGGGGGACCAATTGAACAGTGAGGAGGAGAACCAGTTGAACAGTGAGGAGGGGAGGGGGACCAGTTGAACAGTGGGGGGGGGGAGGGGGACCAGTTGAACAATGAGGGGGACCAGTTGAACAGTGTGGAGGGGAACCAGTTGAACAGTGAGGAGGGGAGGGGGACCAGTTGAACAGTGAGGAGGGGAGGGGGACCAGTTGAACAATGAGGGGGACCAGTTGAACAGTGTGGAGGGGAACCAGTTGAACAGTGTGGAGGAGAGGGGGACCAATTGAACAGTGAGGAGGAGAACCAGTTGAACAGTGAGGAGGAGAACCAGTTGAACAGTGAGGAGGGGAGGGGGACCAGTTGAACAGTGAGGAGGGGAGGGGGACCAATTGAACAGTGAGGAGGAGAACCAGTTGAACAGTGAGGAGGGGAGGGGGACCAGTTGAACAGTGAGGAGGGGAACCAGTTGAACAGTGAGGAGGGGGAGGGGAACCAGTTGAACAATTAGAAGGGGATGGGAACCAGTTGAAAAGTGAGGAATGGGGAGGGAGGGGGACAAGTTGAACAGTGAGAAAGGGAGGTAGAACCAGTTGAACAGTGTGGAGGGGAACCAGTTGAACAGTGAGGAGGGGAGGGGGACCAGTTAAACAATGAGCAGGGGAGGGGGACCAGTTGAACAGTGAGGAGGGGAGGGGGACCAGTTGAACAGTGAGGAGGGGAGGGGGACCAGTTGAACAGTGAGGAGGGGAGGGGGACCAGTTGAACAATGAGGAGGGGGACCAGATGAACAGTGTGGAGGAAGGGGAACCAGTTGAACAGTGAGGAGGGGAGGGGAACCAATTGAATAGTGAGAAGGGGAACCAGTTGAACAGTGTGGAGGAAGGGGGACCAGTTGAACAGTGTGGCGGGGAGGGGGACCAGTTGAACAGTGAGGAGGGGAGGGGGACCAGTTGAACAGTGTGGAGGGGAGGGGGACCAATTGAACAGTGAGGAGGGGAGGAGAACCAAGTGAACAGTGAGAAGGAAGGGTGACCAGTTAAACAATGAGGAGGGAGGGTGAGCACTTGAACAGTGAGGAGTGAGGGGGACCAGTTGAACAATGAGGAGGGGAGGGGGACCAGTTGAACAGTGAGGAGGAAGGGTGACCAGTTAAACAATGAGGAGTGAGGGTGACCAATTGAACAGTGAGGAGGGGAGGGGGACCAGTTGAACAGTGAGGAGGGGAGGGGGACCAGTTGAACAGTGAGGAGGAAGGGTGACCAGTTAAACAATGAGGAGTGAGGGGGACCAGTTGAACAATGAGGAGGGGAGGGGGACCAGTTGAACAATGAGGAGGGAGGGTGACCAGTTGAACAGTGAGGAGTGAGGGGGACCAGTTGAACAATGAGGAGGGGAGGGGGACCAGTTGAACAGTGAGGAGGAAGGGTGACCAGTTAAACAATGAGGAGGGGAGGGGGACCAGTTGAACAGTGAGGAGTGAGGGGGACCAGTTGAACAGTGAGGAGGGGAGGGGGACCAGTTGAACAGTGAGGAGGGGAGGGGGACCAGTTGAACAGTGAGGAGGGGAGGGGGACCAGTTGAACAGTGAGGAGGAAGGGTGACCAGTTAAACAATGAGGAGTGAGGGGGACCAGTTGAACAATGAGGAGGGGAGGGGGACCAGTTGAACAATGAGGAGGGAGGGTGACCAGTTGAACAGTGAGGAGTGAGGGGGACCAGTTGAACAATGAGGAGGGGAGGGTGACCAGTTGAACAGTGAGGAGGAAGGGTGACCAGTTAAACAATGAGGAGGGGAGGGGGACCAGTTGAACAGTGAGGAGTGAGGGGGACCAGTTGAACAGTGAGGAAGGGAGGGGGACCAGTTGAACAGTGAGGAGGGGAGGGGGACCAGTTGAACAGTGAGGAGGGGAGGGGGACCAGTTGAACAATGAGGAGGGGAGGGGGACCAGTTGAACAGTGTGGAGGAAGGGGAACCAGTTGAACAGTGAGGAGGGGAGGGGGACCAGTTGAACAGTGAGGAGGGGAGGGGGACCAGTTGAACAGTGAGGAGGAAGGGTGACCAGTTAAACAATGAGGAGTGAGGGTGACCAGTTGAACAGTGAGGAGGAAGGGGAACCAGTTGAACAGTGAGGAGGGGAGGAGAACCAAGTGAACAGTGAGAAGGAAGGGTGACCAGTTAAACAATGAGGAGGGAGGGTGAGCAGTTGAACAGTGAGGAGTGAGGGGGACCAGTTGAACAATGAGGAGGGGAGGGGGACCAGTTGAACAGTGAGGAGGAAGGGTGACCAGTTAAACAATGAGGAGTGAGGGTGACCAATTGAAGAGTGAGGAGGGGAGGGGAACAGTTGAACAGTGAGGAGGGGAGGGGGACCAGTTGAAGAGTGAGGAGTGAGGGGGACCAGTTGAACAATGAGGAGTGAGGGTGACCAGTTGAACAGTGAGGAGGGGAAGGGGACCAGTTGAACAGTGAGAAGGAAGTGGTATTAGAGAGACTGGTGAAACAGTGAGATGGAGCAAGGGGGACCAGACTAAGTGATGATTAAAAAAAAAATGACCAACATTATAAGCAGAGAACTAATTATCATTCATAGGATCCAAAATGTCAGGTTTGCCTATGAATGAAATTCTACTTGATTCTTTAGAGTAAAAAAAGCAAAATTAGCAAAATATGAAAGTACATATCCATAAATACAAGAAAACATGACAGTTTGTAATTAGGTTTCTAATTTGGATGTGAAATTGTAAAAACAAATAAAGTTATATCAGAGTAAATATAAGCGTGGGAATTATGACAGTCTGTTACAATGTAAAGTGGTTATAAAACATGATTTTTGGCACCGTTATGTGAATACACCTTGAGGCTGCGGAAACACATCCTGAGTTTTGACACAGCCTAGACAACTCTATGTACTCTCTCATCAAGCATACATTTCTCCATTATTTTATAGCTTGATATTCTTTAGTGAGAAATAATCTTCGAAAAACCAAACAATGTTTTTAGGATAAAAAGATATGGTAACAATATTATATATTCTAATATGATACTTGACGTCACAAAAACTAGAACAATTGATTTACTGGTCTATATTGGATAATGCAAATAGTTGTGTTTCTTGTCTGTTTATCATATTAGAATTGTAACAAAGACCTCGATTTTATGATTTATGTCAAATATCTGGTATTTATTCCTTAAATATAGAAATTAATTCAGAGCACTTTATCTGAAAATCCCAAGGTAAGAAAGGGGAGATGCCGCTGGCCATTCTGCTTCAGTCCGCAATATTATACCTTTTTAGGTACAACAATATTAGAGCAGGACTTTTTCCTCCAATTTCAAATTATGTAGTCAAAATCTATTTTCATGTATTATAATATAGCTACCGAAAAACATAATTATCAGCTGATTGTAAATCCAATTTTGGCCTCAATAACAACAATATGGCACAAAGGTGAAGTTAAAGAGGATCTAAAAGGAGCACACCTTCAAATTTAATGAATCAAGTTTTAATCAAATGATCAAAAATTGTAAAGAGAATACATGTAATTAGCATGAAACAATGAACTGGATTGATATGATAGGAAATCATTTAGTTTAAATGATAAATGAGAACAGGGCAGACGAAGGTTAGATTTTATGTTAAGGGAACACCTTCAATGCTGGCAACCAGCCTATATATGTTAGACCAGATATAAAACTGGGTAAATGTTCACAACTTCAAAGGTCCTTTCCTATATTAATACATATACAAATGCAGAGAAAAGAGCTCCAAATCCTAGAAGCTAAAATTATTATGAATTAGTACCTCTGGGGATTTGAACATGAACAAAGCTGTAAATGAAATTATTTTGCAGTCTTTCCCTCTTTTTTGGGTTCAAAGGAATATGGAAGTAATCAACAAGGGTGTTATCTGTCTAGACAATAGAGGTACATAAATCTTCTTTCCCATTCAATGGAAATGTCCTTTTGACTTCTACACATAAATCACGAACTCTCACTGTAATTGTTGGAAAATATTCCAGACACTTATTAGTGGTTCATATTTTGGACATCTTAATTAAGTATATAACTGTCACCGAGTCAGACTAACATGTAAAAGGGCTTTATAATACTGAACTTACAACCTAAACAGGCCTCAGATATTAAAGGGCATTAAAAGTCACTCTACCGTACCTACTCCCCAGACTACAACCTACAAGGGTCTTAGGAATTTTCCAGTTCCCTAAAGTAGTAGAATCATCATATATACATGGACAGTAAACCTGGCTAATTTAAAGGTATCTGGGATCAGCCAAAAGTGTTCGGATTAGCAGGGGTTTACATTTCAAGGTTTTATTAACATGTAAGTCAATGGGAGGTAACAAATTTGGGACTGAGAAAGTGTTCAGATTTAGAGGTTTCACTGTATTTACTGTATAAATGACCCCAACTACGTAACATTTTATAAGCCACAGAAAATCCATTTTTACATTTTTCCTCTTTTGATTACTACCTACACACAGACATTTCCCTGCTTCTATAGTCAGATTTGACCTGTTGAGAACTTGTAGATGATTTTGAAAAAAAATTGGGTCAATTTGAAGCAAGTTGAAAAAATACCTTTTTGACCTTTTTTGACCTTGAGAAGGTCATTGAAGGTCAAAATCTCAAATCTTAAGTCAGATCTGAACTTCTGATAACTTGTAAATGATTTTGAAAAAAATTGGTCAATTTGAAGCAAGTTGAAAAAAGACCTTTTGACCTTTTTTGGCCTTAAAAAGGTCATTGAAGGTCAAATCTTAAATATAAAGTCAGATTTGAACTTCTAAAATAATGTAGATGATTTTGAAAAAAATGAAGTCAGTTCCAAGTATTTGTTAAGTTATTGGAAGTTCTATGATTAACCAAAGCTCTATGAACTGTGAGTATCAATATAATGACATCTATACAGACATTTCAACTGGCCTCATCAGTGCTCAGATAGTGCCAAATTGGTGATGCATTTTTGTTAAAATAACCAAATTAAAAGTTAGGTCCTATCAATGCTATGCATGCAACATATGAAATGTATACTTCAAATTTTTCCAGGGGGAGAACATGATAGGCTCGCTTGCTCGTGCATTCATCACGTTGTTGCTTTGCTCACGTGTCGCTGTCATACATACATATGATTAGCACCACACCCTAATAATTCCCTAGTGAGAGCCCAAACCATAATATTTCGATGATGTGTAGACAGTGATAAAAAGGACTTCCTTAATTCATTTTTAGTCTGACACCTTCTGCATTATGATTGTTACTATTTGCATTTTTAGATACACATTCCATAAACCATTATTATTTCGAAAAAAGAACAAAATGTGACATTTAACAACATCCATTTCATCATTCAATAGAGAAAAAAAGATTGACAAAAATCACTTTATTTGGAACTGAAGACAAAGAATGGGCCATTACAATTGAATCAATGTTATGATTGTGATGATTAGTCCTCTATTATCAAAGGAAAGAAGAAAGGTGATATTTTCAAATACAAATATACAGATAAAACCAATCAGTAATGGGTTTTGTGCAGGTTCCATTGGCAAAAAGAGATTTAATTTCATATAAAATCTCCATTTGATGCACACTCTAATGACATTAAGAACAATACTTTTTCAAACCTACACAGTCATTTATATTTAATATTTTTCATCAAAATATCTTCTTGAATGGATTCATTGGTATATTCTAGTTACATTTGAAATACCAACACCTAATGAGAAGTTAATGAAAATGCAGAGAGCAATTAGACCATATAAGTAATAAACTATGGAGAAAATACAATCAACAATTGGTTGGATATTAGGAATTATTGTAAAAAATTAAATCAAACTCGATAAATAACAAGGGATACCATGCCAACATACTATTTTGAACAGTGACATCTAATTTTATCAATAATAGGCAGAATTATTTTCATTATTGTGTTTTTAGACAAGATTCATGTTTTAAATGGAAAAATTGTTTCATTCAAGACTGAGTAATAAAAAACAACATATCCCACGTTACTTTTTCCACTCAGGATAACTCATGCTATCCATTCTTTTCAACTCAATTTTCGTTACACAAATTGTGTTGCTTTAAAACCCATTAAATTCATTTTTCTTTTCCAAAATCAATCATGCCTCAAAATACAATACAATATATTAATAATTTATAAACTTCAAATCAACATATTTATTAGCGCTTCAATTTAAAATATAACCTGGTCATTCCCCAATCAATGTAAGCTTCATCACAAATGGTCAAACAAAGTTATAACACTTACAGAACTGAACTAGACAACAGCCATCTAATGAACTTATCCCATTCAGAAAATGTGTTCTTTCATAGTTAAAGTGTAAATAAGATTCAATGTTAGAAAATCCTTGACATTCATGGTAATTAAATTGTGAATTAACCATTCCCTAATGACTCTAAAACTCATTGTCTGTTTTTAGAGCAAAACATAATAGTATTGTCTTGAATTTAATCAATTTTAAGCCATTGTTGTTAAGTCACAGTTGTTTGATTGATGAAACTTAAATGCAAATGGTTATATAATAAAATTGTATCTAGCAAATACTTATCCGTACACACTTACCTTTACTAAGTTGATGTCTTGTAGGGTTAGACGTAACTGTGGGAGGGAATCTCTGTTGGCGATCCATCGATGATGTAGTACATCATGTAGTGTGGTCCTGGCTAGTGGGTCAACATGGAGCATCTTAGATACAAGGTCCTAGAAACAAAAATGTAACCCTGTATGTGATATCAATTGAACCCATAAATAAATCAACCAAAAAGAAAGCCAAACCTGGAAGAAATGCATCAACCAAGAAATGCCCTAACTGATTAATACATCAACCAAGAAATGCATCAACTCAGAAATGCATCAATCCAGAAATGCATCAACACAGAAATGCACCAATCCAGAAATACATCAACACAGAAATGCATCAACACAATGCATCAATCCAGATAAACATCAACACAGAAATGCATCAACAAAGAAATGCCCTAACTGATTAATACATCAACCAAGAAATGCATCAACTCAGAAATGCATCAATCCAGAAATGCATCAACACAGAAATGCACCAATCCAGAAATACATCAACACAGAAATGCATCAACACAATGCATCAATCCAGATAAACATCAACACAGAAATGCATCAACAAAGAAATGCACCAATCCAGAAATACATCAACACAGAACTGCATCAACACAGAAATGCACCAATCCAGAAATACATCAACACAGAAATGCACCAATCCAGAAATACATCAACACAGAAATGCATCAACACAATGCATCAATCCAGAAATGCACCAATCCAGAAATACATCAACACAGAAATGCATCAACACAGAAATGCACAAATCCAGAAATACATCAACACAGAAATGCATCAACTGGGAGCTGCACCAAATTGAAAAATATATTGCATACACTTAAAAATCCACAATTTGTTACAAATGGCAACCAAAAACACTGATACCACTTCTATGAAAATGGGAATATTTCACCAGTTTTGAACATTTCTTACACACAAGAAAATAATGGTAATGTGACACATACCATTCAGATGAGGTATTTGATAGGGATGGGACGATTCGTTTCGGTTCGGTTCGGTTTTTCGGATCATCAGCCGTCGGTTAGGTTTTTTCGGTTCGGTTCATTCATTTTAAGGATTTGTATTGATTGACATGATTAGCTGCTTTGTCTCTGACTTCACTGCTGACTGTCACTTTCTTTAAATACAACCAATAAAATAACTAATTTATGCTTGTAGAAACCTTTATTCTTATTCGCCATATTTGAGTGTATTGTGGGTGCGCACAAAATAATACCCTATATCGAACCTGCGCAAATATAAATTTGCGCAAATCTTTGTATCAATTATGCCACGTTATAACAATATTTTATAGATGGAATTTTATGTTATAGTATTTCATGAACAATACATATTATTTAGAATACACGACTAAAGAATATAGTACCAGGGACCACATGATTGATTACCGAGGGATACGAATACGCGGATATGAAACGAATCTAGTAAACGAGTGAGCTAGCAACAGACAAGACAGACAAGGTAGGGACTTGGAATATCAAAAATGTTGCTGTAAAACAGTGTTTTTAACTGTTTTATTGATACTTGACCAATGAAATATTAATCCGAAAACGATCCGAAAAGCTGATCCGAAAGTAGGGCCGTGATCCGAAAACCGATCCGAAGGCTATGAACCGCGGTTTTTCGGTATTTCGGTTATCCGTCCCACCCCTAGTATTTGATAGTGGTGGGACTCGCCACCAAAATCTCTACTCGAGTAGAATGATAAATTTAACGATCGAGGAGACAATTTTGGCGATTATTTTTTTAAAAAATTGAGAAAATTAGAACCTGGAAAATCAAGGCATTTGTCACTATACTTACATCAACTTTTGGTTTAATGACCAGTCAATGATGTAGTTCTGAACGGATTGAGTTCCATTTAAGATGTTTTAGACACACATTCACCGTATATTAGCAATGATATAAGCCTTTTATGGATTTTTTCGACTTCGAAATTCCAACTTCCGTCAAAATACATATGCGCATGCGCATACGATATACCAGATATAAACAAACATAATACAAGAACACAAATGTGTACAAAATGTCCCCACCTATGGGTGATCCCGTCAAATGGTTATCCTAAAAATGAGTAGACAAGACTTTACCGACACAATTTGAGGACGGAAAATCCAAAATGGCCACCTTAAAATTTACCCAGAATGCCAAAAAATTAGTCAGTTCTAGATTTTCATACTAAGAACCACCCCTGAAAATTTCAAATTGATCCGTCACACAGTTAACCAGAAAACATGTAAACAAGACTTTACAGACAAGATTTGAGGACAGAAAATCCAAAATGGCTGCCTTGACATTTATCCAGAATGCCCAAAAACTAATCAGATCTAGATTTTCATACTAAGAATCATCACTGAAAATTTGAAATTGATCTACCAAACGGTTCACCTAAAAACGCGTAGACAAGACTTACGGGCAAGATTTTAAGACGGAAAATCCAAAATGGCTGCCTTGACATTTATCCAGAATGCCAAAAAACTAATCAGATCTAGATTTTCATACTGAGAATCATCCCTGAAAATTTCAAATTGATCTACCAAACGGTTCATCTGGAAATGCATAGACAAGACTTTACAGACAAGATTTTAGGACGGAAAATCCAAAATGGCTGCCTTGACATTTACCCAGAATGCCCAAAATCTAATCAGATCTAGATTTTTATACTGAGAATCATCCCTGAAAATTTGAAATTGATCTACCAAACGGTTCACCTGAAAATGCGTAGACAAGACTTTACAGACAAGATTTTAGGACGGAAAATCCAAAATGGCTGCCTTGACATATACCCAGAATGCCAAAAAACTTATCAGATGTAGATTTTCATACTAAGAATCATCCCTGAAATTTTGAAATTGATCTACCAAACGGTTGACCTGAAAACGCGTAGACAAGACTTTACAGACAAGATTTTAGGACGGAAAAATCCAAAATGGCCGACAATAAAAAAGTGATTATGAGTTTTTGCTGATTTCTTTTTACAAAATTATCACATATAACTACTGTTAACAATAACATAGGCTTTTACAACAAAGTACACCTGAAATTATTTATAAAGCTATAAAATAGTTTAAGTATGAAAACTGAAAAACACCATTCAATATGATTTAAAGTATTATCGTGCGCTAACTTTTCTTAAAACATTCAAAATGGCTGACATGACTGAGCTAACAGGTCCAAAACCTAATCAGATCTAGAATGAAGTGAGCCGAACAAGATATTAAAGTTTTAAAAGCAACTGTGAAGCCGTTTTTCTTAAAGTTTGCAGACAAGGATTTTAGCATTTGACTTCAAAATGGCCGACAGGAAGTAGGTATCGAGTCAATTTTTTTCATCCACATCTGTATGCACTCATAAGTTATCCCTGAAAATTTGAAGGTGATATCTGTAGCGGTTTTGGAGAAAACTGCCGGACGTACGGACAGACGGACAGACAGACAGACGGACAGACGGACGGACGGACGCGCCTAGGCCGACAATATGGCCCCACACTATGTGGTGGGGACATAAAAAAGCAATGAATACGATTCTCATACTTTTTCTCATCAACTGACAATTAAATCAACAAAACAATCTGCCGAATATAGTCAAAAATTTATTAGAAAAACGTAAAGGCAGCTAGAATCCTTGCTTAAATCGTGAGTATGAAGGGTAAATCGCAATTTTTCTCAGAAATTTTTAGGATCACGATTTTCAAATTTTCAATCGATTGATCATTTTTCTAGGCTCATTCGAGTTCTAGTCGATTACCCGAGTCACTCGTTACACCACTAGTATTTGACCAGTTTTGATTGTTTAAAATTAAGAGAATTTATACATACCTTAGCATCAGGAGACACAGAGTCCCAGTTGCCTCCAGAGAGCATGAACTTTCCTTCCCCTATCCGTTTCAGGATGTCATTGGGAGTGTCACTTGGACCATTGGCAAATGGCGTGTGGCTGGAATTAGAGTTCAAAGTTTAAAGCTTAAATAACCAATAATTTGCAAATGATGCAAGTTTGCCCTAACAAGACAAGAGAGGTAATATTAGTTTATAATTGAGTGAAAAGGACCCAATGATATATGTATGTATTACATACCCAGCGAAGCATTTGTATTGAAGTCAATGGAGCTGAAGGTCGGCTATATATTCCTGTATAGCCGCCAAACCTTTTACCATGACAATCTTATGACGTCATCGGGACGTCATGTTTAATTTCTTCCTAATTTCACTCGCACACAGACACGTGGCATCATTGATATAACGTAGCCATGATATAAAAGTATGTAATACAACAGTTATGTCCGTATCATTGAATATATGCCTTCGGTCTGTCGTAATATAACCCTCGCAAGCTCGGGCTATATTGGTGACAGACCTCAGGCATATATTCAATGATAGGGACATAACTGCTAAATATATATATATATATCAGGAGGATGCATAGGATTACGACATGCATCATTTCTAAGCTGTTTTAATATAAGTTCTCTATTATCGCCCACTTGATTTCTCAAAAGTTCAATCTTTTTTCTAATAAAATACCTGCCCACTCATCCATAAAAAATCATAAAAACCTCCTAATTGATGTTAATAAATTAATAATATTTTTATACATTAATTGAGAAAACATGTTTACATAAAACTAAACCTAAAGATTGCATGCAATCTGATGGAGGCCTTGAAGATGTTTTTGACATTGAAAGCCAAACATATATGAAGAAATGAAGTCTTGGCAAGTTGTAGCTACCGTATTCTCTGTAATTAGCGCCAAATACTTTTTGATATTAGATCATTTAAAATGCAGATATGTTCAGATTCAATATGAGGAAGATCTACTTTTTCAATTTTTGCTATATAACCTTAAAAACCGAAATAAAACCAAAACTGGACATCCCTACATCCAGGTAAACATTTAAATTACCACAAGACATACCCATAAAGCCTAGCAATCAATACAACAGGTACTTACCCAGCAAGCATTGTATATAGAAGCACCCCTAGGGACCAAACATCACAGGCAGCATCATAGCCTTGTTTCTTTAACACCTGAAGGTAGATAGCAGCAAAATGAGGTGTTATAAATGATTTGGCTCAAAATTATTTCTTTGAAGAAATGAAACCAAAATTTTGAATTAGAAAAAAACATTTTTAGAATATCATTTTAATAGGTAATCTGGTTGAATAAAACTGAAGATAAGAATTTTTTCCATATTCATTTCAAGTCACTGGGAAGATTTTAGAAAATTTCTTAATATGGTGCTTGACTAAAGTAAGTAAATAGAAATAAGACAATGACAATCTCCAAAGGCAACTAGGTTAATCATGCTTGCCAAATTCACTATTACATTATTACATTCCATACTCCTGTTCTAAACATACATGATATGATAAACAAGTTGAATTGGAATCTAAAACGATTCTCCAATTAGATAAAACATATAAAAAGGTCAAATGAATCAATATTATCACAAAAAAGGAATAATTGTAAAAAATGTTCATAAGTTAGGCATATTACTGATGAGTCAGTATGTTTCAATCTACCATATGGTGTTACCAAACTAATTTGGCGTAATGTTTAATCAATATCAACAAGAAATGAAGATGGAATAAAAACTAAAGTAAGACCTTAATTAAACTCATGAGAACATATTAGAATGTGATATGGTGAAAACTAGAAAAAAGCTCCCTGGACTAGCATATCCCAAGGTACAAACCAAATTTTAACAAAGCATTTCATGATAGAAAAAATAGCTAGGAAGTAACATTTTCTACCATTGGAAAAAATTAAACTTGATAATACATGTATAACCTAAACTTGTTATGTTATATTTAGTTATCGCCAAAAATGTTAACATTTTCATGGAAAATTGGGAATGCTGAATAGAGCAGCCATTTTCAATAAATGCATGTATAAATCCGTCAAACAGTTATATAAGTTAAAGAAAAACATAAAAAACCAACAACAGGTATTCGAGTTATCATCCAAACAGCAAAATGTACAGAAAGATGAACAGTCACATGGCTTCTCTATATCCCCGTACTCAAACTTTTATTTGTACTGTCAGATTTTGAAAGCAATGAATGATTGTAAAGAAGTAACAATGATTCTTCATTTTCTTTCCTGTCAAATTGTAGCTGTTGAATATGTTGCCTTGGGAGCGGCAACCAATGATGAAAAACCTGGTTGTAAAAAATGCAAATGTGATGCAACAACCGTGGATTGTATGGGTGTCAATACAATGCAATACTTGCTTTCATAATCAAATATATGGACATGGACGTAAAAAGTACTATTGAATACATATTTAATGAAAAATGAGCCAATGCCTGTAGAGTCTCATCATATGTCACATCATACGGCCAACAACCAGGAAATAACAACTCCATGGAGTAACAAATTTCATGAAACAACATGTTTTAAATCATTCCTTAATTTGAACATTACATCTAAGATAACAACTTAACCCCGTCAATGCGAGAGCCGATTAAATCGGCTCTGACGTCACATTTGTGTTTGCGAGAGCCGATTAAATCGGCTCTGAAAAACCTTTGCTTCAGTGCTAAAGCCGATGAGATCGGCTCTACTTCATTCCCATGTAAAAGGGGCTTTCCCTCAATAATTATGTAAGATATGCAGATCTTCACAAATAAATATGATTTTGTATGTCTAAAACAATAAATATTTCGAAAGAATGTGCTTGTTTGTTCATTTTACTCAACTTGATCGAGTTTTTAAAAACAGGAAAAATAAAAACAAATTTTCGAACAAATATTTGGCGGGAAAAATGGCGGCACTAAATGACGATGGCAGTGATTTTTATTGAGAGCCTATTTGATAGTGATTCTGATCTCTCTGGTGTCCGAAGCAAGTCAGATGATGATGGGGATATTCCCATACCATGTAATCAGTGAAGATGTCTCCCTGGACCTCAGCAATCAAAGGAAAGATTGCAATTTGATAAGGTAAATAGCCCGGGAGGACCAGAAAAATTCCAGTCAAGATTTTTTTTGAGTTGTGTCAATTATAATCGACATTGTAAGTTATGAGCTGAATTATTTGAACTGAATTATTTTCATCTAACTATTAGATGAATACTATTATCGAACATATTTTATTTATAGTGAAAATAGAGCAAATAACATACTTGGAAAACTAAGTCACATGACTTGATCATGGTGATCATGTGACATTCAAAATGGCGACATCCAGGTTAAAAATGAACAAATTTGCTCTTCAATATATCGCATATTCTTGAGGGATCATTGTCTTTTTGCAATGTAATGACACAGAGAAAGGTACTGTATGTATATCTGATAACAAATTATTATTGATTTTATGATATTTATGGCTCTATAGTGTCTAAACCACTAATGTACTGCAGAATTCATGAATATTTTTTCAATTTATTTTTGATTTTCTTATTGTTTCTTTATCATTTCATTGTACTATTTCATTGCCATGCAATAACTTGCATACCGAATACTCCTTTACAATATGTACAATATCCACGCATCTAGAGCTGATAGCATGGACAGGTGGACTTTCTATCACCAACCATAGCCATCTGTAAGGTCATACTTTCCAATATTGTCTAGAGTCCATTTCACTGCTTCATTTCGTCAGTAGAACGGCAAAAATAAGAAATTGGGAGACCATTGTGCAATAATATATGGAAAAGTATATTCATAATGTACATGAATGAGATTTGTATATCTTGGATTGCTTCTAGTTTGGCTTATAAAGTGTGTGGCCTCTTATATTTGGAAGTTTCTATGCCATGTTATTTTCAATAAGATTAACATGGCTGAAATTCTTCAAATTACAAGACGGCACAGGCTTATTGCACAAAAAACTAAAAAATCTGAAATATGCAAATGTCATTCATGTACATTATGAATATACTTTTCCATATATTATTGCACAATGGTCTCCCAATTTCTTATTTTTGCCGTTCTACTGACGAAATGAAGCAGTGAAAAGGACTCTAATACTGTACATATCCCCTAATTTTTTTTTACATTTTTCTTCAAAATTCTCTTATTTTTAACATTGGAAATCCTCACTTCAGCAAATCCACCTGTCATTTATTTATGTTCCAATCTGTATCAGATGTTTTTTAATTGAATTACAGTACAGTAACATTGTATTTCAGTCCAGTTTTGCCTTAGTTGTCCCATCTGGATTTATTTTTCTAATCCCGGCTTTGACTACAACCTAGTCAGTCACTGAATAAAGTGAAGAGCTATACTGTTGTGAACTTCATGTATAGCTGACAATATATGTTTTAGGAACCAGACCCAAAGCAAACAATACCAAATGCCGCATCAACGATATTTACTTTGATAATACATGGATGGAGTTTAGGATCATATGACTGCTGAAAGTACGATGTAATGTTATGCTGAACAACTGCAATGTACAGGTAGGCAATTAAACAGTGTTTCAGTGTTTACCAATATTATTAGAGTATAGTACATAATTGCAATTTATGTACATGTACAAGCTTTATAATATTGATTATAATTAATGTAGTATAGTACAATACAATGTACTGTTTTACAATACAGTACAACATGTACAAAAGTGTTTAACAGTATGTGTTCAGCATGAAGGTCATATATGTATATCAAAAGGGATGTATCAATAATTTATCTACTGTATTCATACAGGTAGTTATACAGTACCTTTAACATGGGTGAAGCCAAACTTGAGACAGATGAGGCTTTTGCCTTACCACCATCTTTCAGGAAAACATTTATTTGGACAATATGTGTATATTAAGTCTGTGAAGATAAAGGAAGCACATTATTCTAGTATTGCCCCAATAAAATCAATTTGATCTCTGGAAGAGGCAGATTGAAATTTAGGTAAACACTCTACTTCAGCTTCAGTATAAATATTTTTTCTGAAATCTGCTTCATTTCCATTATGGCTACTTCCTTGTATATAGTAAATGTTATGTTATGTTATATAGAGATTATTTAATGGGAGAGATGGTATATGAATTTTATTCTGTGGGAAAATATAATATTGGCCAAGGAAAATATCATATTGACCAAGGGCAATAGCCCAAGTGTCAAAGTGATATTCTTCGAGGTCAATATCATATTTTCTCAGGGAAAATATTAATATTCCAACACAACTGAAACTTATATATAAGTTTTGAATGTCATCACCCAATGATGGTGTGATATAAAATGATACAATTGAATTCATCATACAGATTAAAATTTTCAACTTTAATTATTAACAAGTTTTTAAATAATAAATAATTGGAAATCCCTGGGAATAGTTCTGATATCGGATCCAATACGGGATCTGATACAGAATTTTGTCTGATGCGAAATCTTATTTATTTTCCAGGGAAAACATGCTATTATAATTATGGAATAAATATTGATATACAATGATCTTTCCTTTACAGCACAAAGAGAAGAGGAGTTGCTCAAAGATTGCAGTAGGCTATACTGCGGGAAAATACGTACATCCATCCCTGAATGAAAGCCTTCATTGATATGCTGCTAAATATGAGTTTGATTCAGAAAGCAACACTGGAGTCATATTGGACAAAAACAAGGTAATGTTTGTTTTATCACTGATGGCCAAGGGGAAAGGCAGGTGTCATTCTCGGCCTAAAGGCTGAAAGGCCATTTATTTGTACTTTTCTTTGGCATTTTTGAAAAAAGTGGACCCAAAGCTCATTTATTTAGATTCAAGTCCCCCAAGTCAATTTCCAGAGCCAACACTGAACATATGTGTATTGCCATTATTGTGACACTATAACCTTTTCATAAGATTAATTAGACTAATCAGAAGACTGATTATAGAGTATTTTATAGGTCATGTACAGAAACAGGGCACTACATAAAAAAAAAAAAACATTTTGTAACGTATGAATTCAAATCATGAAGTAAAATAATATAAAGTACTGTATATGAAAAAATGAAAATTCGGCTCAAAATGAAAAATTTGGCCTAAAATGAAGATTTTTGAATGAAAAAGAATTTAATTTTAGAAAAGAAAATTCGAAAAATGAAAAATCATGATCCTAGGGAAATACACCCCATGTTCAATCACTCCCAGTAAATAACCTCTATGCATTTTCTCATTATAGATGGAATCAGGCAACCCCCAGTTAGGAAAAACTTTACGAGAGACCGATTTCAGCTGCTTTTGCGGTTCTGGCACATCAACATGATGAGGTTGCAGTAGTTGAAGACAAGCCTGGCTGCGACCCCTATATCAAGGTCAGGTGCTTGGTTTCTGCGTTCAACGGGAATTCTGCCATAATACTCTCCACGGAAACATTGCTCTGGATGAGGGATTGGTCTTTATGAGCAATAGGTAAAATTTTTACCTTGATAACTTTCTGTGAAAACATGTCATACAAGACCCTATTTTTACACTTTTATATTTTGCTTTCACATTTAAAACATATTCACACCACAGGAAAAGTGCATTACTTTCCTGGTTAATGCCATATATCTTTAGACAAGTTACATGAAATAACTTTATTTTATTTTTTTCTTTGTTCCTCTCAGACATTTAATTTAGTTTACCCTGAAAACAGAAGAATGGTACTACTGAAATTAAATCAACAAAAATCTATTTACTTTCTTATTGTTTCTAAGGTGGGATATGTCCCGAATACCGTATTCACTCAAATAAGCGCATGATGCAGTAAAATAATCACTGATTATAGGTAAAAATCAATATGTTGCGGGATATGCACTAAGTAGGAATAATATGATATATTATTATATCACTATCATATTCCTCACTCTCTGATTGGTCCATGCCCTACATGTGACTTAAAAAATAACAAGCGATATTCATCTGTCACAACTTAGTCCAGTGTAATTTTATTGTATATATTCTGGGGGTACATTGTTATGATTAATTAGAAATCAATAGTTTGTCATTCCATATATGTGAGTGAGGAATATAACAGTGAATAATAAAATAAATACTAGTATTTAATTCTATTTTCGGTGAATGCTTGTGACACTTTCACAAGATATTCCACTTGCACTTCGGGCTTCGTGAAATATCACTAGTGAAAGATGCACAGGTATTCAACCTCAATAGAATGAAATATTTGTATATTATTTCTGACTGGTGTATATTGTAACTTCTAAACAGTAGAATGAACATATTGAACAGACTCAGTGAAATACATGTCTCAAGAAAGGAATCGTGGTACATAGATTTGTACAAAATATTTATTGAACATATAGTGCATTTTCTGAAATTCGGTCATATGATAATAAGTAAAACTTATATTTGTTATACAAATGTTAATCAGATAATCATTTACATATTGCAGAATAACAACCGATTTATGGGGACAGTGGATAGCACAGATCAAATGATCACACACAGTGATGGATGAACTCCAATACTGGCATTAAGTGGGCATTGCAATACTCAGTTGAATGCTGCTTAACTCTTACATTGTATATGGAGCACACAGATACAGAAAAGACAATGCAAAGGTATGTAGTTAAGAAAACTTATGTCAGCATGAGCAACAGGTACCCTGTATGGTCGAAACTGATCATTGAGAGGGTACTTTTTGTACATACATGTACATACTAGCTAATCTTTTCACTAGGTGTCGAGTTTTTCTGAACAGCTGCTCATATCATTAGCTAGCCCCTTGACTGTCAAGTCTGATTATGAATTTCCATTACCCTCTTATTGCAGTGTAATCATGAAACAAATTTGTATTGTATCTTTTTTAAAAAACTGATATAAAATGATATTTTATTTTATTTTAATATCAATCACAGTTTTGAATATACATCACAATATATATATCGATTTCAATGTTAGTGAACATTTATAAATAATGTTATTGATGTTTGTATTCAGATACTCATTTATGATTGACCTGATTGAGGGCCTAGCAACTGCCTCCTGTCCTGCACTTTAGTTAATGCACTAAGCCATTGGCCAGGGATATTACCTGACAACAAGAAAAGCAGTATGTTCTGTGTAGCCAGCTAGGGACCTGTCACCATTCCAGGACAGAATGTGGAAAGGGGTTCATTTGAAGTGTTTCTTCTAAACAGCAAGAGGAGAGGATATGAGTTTGGGCAACTCCTGCTGGCAGACACATTGAACATGAATATATAGTTACAGTAGTACTATAGCACAGATTATATCTCATTCAATACCTTCTTCAACCAACAATCTGTAGGTTGAAATGTAAAAACGATGGGAAAAAATTAAAGGAAATTACAAGGGGCATAAATCAATCAATCTAAATGTCCAATTTATATGACTGTAACTTTTCAATATAAATAATGAATAAAACAGACAAACAAACTAAGCATGACTTGTCAAGTTAAACCATAATCTGTTGCCATGGTAACATATATTCATTGCCATAATGCCAACAATAAGTTAAAACTTTGGGCAGATTTTTTTTGAGGATAGAATTGAAATCAATCTGGACGCTAGTAAACTAATGTACTGTAAATTGCAAATTCTTACAAAATTTTACATCCACTTACCCGTTGTCATGGTAACAGATATTGATATATGTATGTGTGAAATTCTCTTATCTTCTATACATGTATTGATCTAGAATGATTTAGTTAACTTCATATTTATATTATGTATTGATATCAGTAGACAAAATAAGATACAAATGTAATAATTAATTGTTTTTGTAATACAATCAATATATTTTGGTAAAAATCAAGGATTTTAGTAGAAAATGAGCATTGATAAGATTATAAACATTATGGTCGGCCGACGGTGCTATGTATTGTTCCAGATATCATCTGCAAATGACAAATTCATGGGCAATTATATTTTTGTCTAGTTTTTTGTCATATTTTATAATTTATATTTGATTGCATGTGATGTAGGGGCAAATGGATTAATTCATGATTACCTATGAATTGTATTTTACAGCGTTATTTTTCTAATAAGTAAAATGGCGGCCATATTGATGACGTCATATCTAATTTGCATATTTGAATAATTTATTCATCAAGATAATCATTTTAGCTTTCCAACGATGTATCACACATGGTTCCTTCAGAAATAATGACTAAGTTATGAAGTCAGATATACCAAGGCATAATTTTCTCTATTTTACCATGAAAAGTCTAGCACTGAGCCAAAAGCTCTTCATTCTTGAATTAGCAGCAAAATGAAATATTTGCCTTTTTTTGTAGCATTGATAGGGTTAAACACTCAAACATTGCAAATAATCGAATAATCCCAGTGTGAGCTGTGGCCTTAATAGGAAGTTTAAGTTAATTAGCACTGTTTTGAAGAATGAGTGTGTGATACCTGTAAAATTATGGTCCTCTATGGATTATTTTCACCCCATTGGCCTTTATTTGCCTGATTGAGTATGAAGAAGAACACATACCTCTGGTGCCACAAAGTTAGCAGTGTAACAAGGGGTCATAAGCAGCCCATTTTCAGCACGTAGTTGTTTAGCAAAGCCAAAATCACAGATTCGCAAACTGTCTGGTGACCCAGACGCGTCAGCATACAGAATATTAGAGGGCTTCAGATCCCTATGCACAACCTACAATATAAATGCAACTTGTTAATACATTAAAATAGCTTGATAATTGTTTCGGTAAACAGGAGTGAATTCAAGAGGTGACAATGAGCTTTAATATATTCTGTGTAATCCAGATGCCCCTGGGACCAACCAAAAGTGTTCAGATTAGCAGGTGTTCACATTTCAAGGTTTTTGAGAGTGTTCGGATTAGAGATGTGTTTGAAAATACAGGTTTCACTGTACTTTATAGGGAGTTTAAGCTTGCAATGTTTTTCACAACCTAAACGTGACCGGAAAATATTTAAGCAATGCATTTGTATGGGCGATTGATCATACATATAGGTTGGCGTTCCGATTTTATATGCAAGCTTTAACTCCCTATTGAAGAGGTGACATTCTGTGAACTCCACTTACACTGGAATGAAAGTTATACAAGGTATTTTATCTATTGAACTCACCCCACTGTTGTGAAGGTAATACCAGATTTTTTATGTATTGTACTCACCCCACTACTGTGAAGGTATCACCAGATTTTCTATGTATTGTACTCACCCCACTACTGTGAAGGTAATACCAGATTTTCTATGTATTGTACTCACCCCACTACTGTGAAGGTAATACCAGATTTTCTATGTATTGTACTCACCCCACTACTGTGAAGGTAATACCAGATTTTCTATGTATTGTACTCACCCCACTACTGTGAAGGTAATACCAGATTTTCTATGTATTGTACTCACCCCACTACTGTGAAGGTAATACCAGATTTTCTATGTATTGTACTCACCCCACTACTGTGAAGGTAATACCAGATTTTCTATGTATTGTACTCACCCCACTACTGTGAAGGTAATACCAGATTTTCTATGTATTGTACTCACCCCACTACTGTGAAGGTAACTGACTGTTTTAGCAATGGTCTGCAGCACAGCACTTGCTTCTCTCTCTGAGAAAAACTTTTGTCGTAAAATTTTGTCTAATAATTCGCCACCTTTCATCAACTCAGTAACTAAATACACTGTGTTTCCATTTTCAAATACCTGAAATGATTACAAAAACAATAATTAGTTTAAATCCTTATCTCAAATGTTAATACACATTCTCTGTTCCACCTATTTCATACTTTTAATGTGAAGAAATTAATGATTCTACTTATTAGTCTTTGATCACAATATCATATTATTAAATACAATGTGCAAACACTTTTGCATAAAATCACATTTTGCACATTTTTGAAACGTTATATTTTGACTAAGAATGGGAGGAGTAGCTAATATGTGTGCATCTTGGCAAGGCTTATATGTACGGTATATGTCTTATCAAGATGGCTTACATCTCTGATGGCTATGATATGTTGGTGAGAGCCATAACGCAGCAATATCTCAACCTCTTCAGCACAATCTCTCTTAGTGTTGTCTATAATCTGAAAGAAAGCAAACTGATTAGTACTTGTGCTCTATTGAATTATTTGTTTAGAAACCATCAGTATAAACTACGAGTACAGAAAAATGTTTAACCAATTAAAGTTTCGGATTGAGTAAAAATAAAAATGTCCATTGTCATCAAATATGGGTCTATATGGAATGTTTGATGTAAATGTTAGGACTGTAGAAGATTAAATGTCATGGTTCTCCCTGTTAAGTCAAAACTCACACTTGAAGTGAATAAATAAAGGCAATGGATAGTAACACACTTACTTTAACAGCGTATTCTTGGCCAGTTGTTTTATGTATGCAACGCTTGCAAATGGAGTAGGACCCAGTGCCTATATCCTGTCAACAGAGAAATAAATATAAAATATTGCAGAAAAAGCATCTACATAAGACAAACTGTTCTAAAATGTAAGTTCATTGTAAGTCTTGTTTGAAGCATTTGTTCCCCCCTCCTTCATACACCTCCAGAAGTTATGAAGGAAAGTAGAATTGTAGATGGGGAGGGGGCACAAACTAAATTTTATAACTGTTTAAATGAAAATGGGCAAATAACTCTATATGGTAAAACATTAACGTGACTTGACTATTCATGTGTAGGATGTGATTAGATAACCTCATAAGAAATAATTTGAAAAAAGAGTCAATAAAAATTGATGACATCAATATGAAGTTCATAACATGGTCTACGTGAGAATATGCATCCATCTTACATGCCTGTGAAATGGACAAAAACTATGAAGAGATTTTTTTTATTAATGTGTAGGATGTAAAAGAAATAACATCATTCATAAGAAATAATAGACTGAGTAAAAAAAAGTTAATAAAAATGGCCAATTCAATATGATACTAGATTGTGATGGTGGAAGTTAACATGTGCATTTAGCTCACGTTCCCCCAAAATGGACAAAAAACATGGAGAAAGGATTGTTCAATTTTATCAAGAAAATTAAACAAATTGACAAGATAAAGTTTACGAACAATTTGCTAAATGAATATACCAACACAATCGTAAGGTTAGGTACTCTATATGTCGAGATCAAAAAATCTCTGAAATTGGAGAAATACCTTCACTTTAGAATAATTCTAACTGAAGTGGCAATGATGGAACTTCATGTAGCATCGTAATTATATTCACAATTGATGAAACTCAGTGGAGGTTTACTGTCTATTCTTTCCAAAAAGTTAGTATTAGCCCCCATGAGTTAGTCTCACCACTGCCAATTTGCTTAATTATTTAGCCATTATTGAATTTTATGTAAAGCTGACATGTTTTACAGTATAGCCTTTGAGTACAGAGGCTCTTTCAGAATGGACCATTTGCTCTATTACTGTACATAGGTAGATCACTAGATGACAGCAGGTGTGTTGGTAGGGATAGAATACTATTCACAATATAGAAACAAATGGCAAAGTCACTTAAAGGCAGAATCAGATCTATGGGGGTGACAAAATTACAAGCACCATGTACAATTGACCTACCAATCTATTCCTTACAATCTCGAATACAATATCTCCCAAAAGATTCACGATATGTTATAAATTGGTGAAGTTATAAGGGATTCAAAGTGCAAAAATGAGTGAAAAATGTTTAAATTCTCCCAAATAATAAGAATGGTAACCATTCTTATAGAAAAGTAATACATTATTGTAAAAATCTCGAGTTTTCCTGAAATAAAGTGTGCACTTTGGGTATTTTTAGAAAATAGATATGAAAGGGAATGACATGAGCCAGAAATATTCTAAAATTGAAACAATTTTTGTGAGGCTGCTCCCTAGATCTGATTCTCTATTTAACTTCTTCACTTAATCAAATGTTTCTGATTGAACTATATTGGTAAATGAAAACACAGAATGAAATCCTGTTATCTTGTTGATGTGAGGGTTTGAATTTAACATTAAAATTTTGATCCTTTAAAGACGTCCAGGTAGGGATTTAACATTAAAATTGTGATCCTTAAAAGACATGCAGGTTGGGATTTAACATTAAAATTGCGATCCTTAAAAGACATGCAAGTTTGAATCTAACATTAAATTGAAATCCTTTAAAGCAGATATGAAATGGTATTTTTAACCTAAAGGATCAATGTATTTGGACATGTTTTCTCATCAGAAGTGTGAAAATTATTTCACTCTAACGATCGTTATAGCTGCTTAATAAGCAATATTCGAATTGGTTGTGACGTTATTGGCCCCCACGTGATCTCTCACTGGCCCCCACGTGGCCCGTTTTGGTCCATTAGATCATGACGTCATAATGCCAAAATGTTTTGTTATTAATTCGTTTACACAACAATCCTATGGTTGCCGTGACGTTTTGATTACTAAGGAACAAATAAACCAAAGCTAAATTTTGTATATGACGTTACTAATCACGTGGGGGCCAATTTGACTGATCAGTTAGTTTTACTTCGTTATCTATGGCCATTAGCAGTTATCTAACATTTATTTTATAATGGCTATCGCAAGAACTCTACGTTGGGCTTACAATGGAGAAAACCGCATTTTTGTAGCTGCAAGTTGAGAAATGCTATTTCAGTTGTCCTTTAAAGACATCCTGGTTGGGATTTAACATTAAAATTGTGATCCTTAAAAGACATGCGGGTTTGGATCTAACATTAAAATTCTGATCCTTAAAAGAGTACATTGACTTTTATTTAACGATTGATTTAGCCCAACTTCTTTCAAAACTTGTAAATCCTGGAAATTTGAATTGAGATAAATAATTGTGCAAATCAGAGTCGTTTTCATTGAAAATAACAAACATAACTCAAATATGCCATCAAATAGAAGAAAATGTTGGATTTAATAATGGTGATAAATACTGGGGGCCATTAACAGAAACTTCGTAAAGTTGATAATTCGTAAAATCCATTGTTTTCTAACTGTGACATCATTATATCCATGGTTACAACAATGGATTTACCAATTTGTATCTCATTAAAAATGAGATTTCAAGCTATGTAGCAAACCCTCTATAATATTTTTGTAATAAAATGACCTACCTCTTTCATGTCATACTCTTCTGTAAATGCTTTCTTTTTCACTCCTGGTTGCTGAAAATTGGGGGACATTTCATAAGTCATATATTTCTTTTGGTCTTTTTTAAACGGCTTTTAAAGACCAGTAGATTTGTTTAAAATTGTAAATATTCAATGTTTTTCTAAATTATCGGGAGTATAGATTTTTTAACCACAAAGACTAATTTTCACAACAAGAAGGTGTACATTAAAAGAAGCAAGAAATCTTCAACCAAGTAGGTTCTTTAAGGTAAAGTTCTGTTTTAATACTGGAACTTCAGCTTCATATTCTCTAAGAAATACACTCAAGAACCTGAGCCCAATTAAATAATAAAATGCCAGCTCCTGGTAGAATAAATAAACAAAGGAGGAGTAACCATAATAAGGCCAAATGCTGAATGCTGGTCGCAAAAAAAGTTGTTTTAAGAATATTTCTCTGTGGTGACATACATTTGAAATCCTTTATTGTATCGTCTCACCTTTGACAGTGAAGACTTTTGTATGTTATTCTGTGTTGTTGTAGGTTTATCTTTGAAGATGGGGGCCACATAACTGAAGCCACGGAAAAGCTCATGGGCTGTAGCACTTGGAGGGATACCAGGAGAATCTGCAATAAAACATAGAGAAACCTAACTAGCAACATATATATATATATGTTATTCTGTGTTGTTGTAGGTTTATCTTTGAAGATGGGGGCCACATAACTGAAGCCACGGAACAGCTCATGGGCTGTAGCACTTGGAGGGATACCAGGAGAATCTGCAATAAAACACAGAGAAACCTAACAAGCAACATATATATTAGTCCCATTATCAGTAGCAAAATATAAGGATCAGTGATCTCCCCAGCATTTAAGCAAGTGGGCATACCACCCACCTGAGATTTTAAACAGGCCACCTGAAAATCCATTTGCACCCACTTGATCATGAGAAAAATCATGGAAAATTGGCATATTTTGACCAATTTTGGTCTGAATTATGAAAATAATGTCACCCCTGTAATTAAATCATTCATAACATAAATACACAGTTGATTTTTGGTATATTAACAAAATGTGACTTTTTGATTTCAAATCACCAATTTTTCAAAACCTGACGACTGTTGTAAAACAGCAGATAAAGATAATAATAAAAACATTTTATTATTTGGGTTTCCCGTCCACTCTCCACATTCAGTAGTCACAAGTAATAGGTACAGTTACTGTGATGAATAGCATATAACAAATAGCAAGATTATGAATTAGTTTAAATCTGACTAAATTAGGGGAAACTCAATTTGAACAAATATTCTACTGAAAATATACAGATTTATATGTTCATCTTTTTGATGCAACTATAAAAATTGAAAATCTAGTATTTCACTGATATTACATAAAATGAAAAATGAAATTGTATGTATTACAGGCCCATTATATTTCGTATTAAAGGTAGCACTACAGTATTTATAACCTTGATAATAGTTACCCCTACGCAATAATTACGTATTAGTCTTTTGAAACCAATTATTTGTAATAACGTAAACTAATGGGCGTTTGTTAACATTGTTAATTTCACTAATGACTCACACCTGATAATATTAAAAACAACTTACCCTTGGGTGTTTTTGATGTAAATTCTGTGTCAAAATAGAAGGCATCGTCATGCCGACTGCAGGCAGGCTTGAATGGGGGGCTCACCTGACGTGCAACAAGTTTCTTCCAATCTATCGAGGCAAAAAACGCATGGCGTTTGATATCCTCAATGCCGTTAGGCCCAGTTCCTATAATAGAACCTGTATGACTATAGAACCGTATATACAAGGGACTTAATCATGCAAATTACAAACTGGTTAGGTTGATTAGAAAGCTTCAATGCTATTTGTTCACTGGAAGGAATTGGTTAAAATGTCATTAAAGACCTTTAACTTGATAAAAACTCATGTTTGGGCCAAATTTCTAAAAGGAGCATATAGTTCATTACTATAACCTACCTGTTAGTCGGAAAAACTGCTTTGAAAGAATAACTAGAAAAACAGCAACTCCACGGAGTAGCAAATCCCACCGAACGGCAGTTGAGTTACCAAAGATTACGAAAATGAAAATGAAAAATGGCAGCCATTCTGAAGATCAGCCGCCATCTTAAAATTTTTTCTCGAACAGAGCTACTGTGTTTCTAGGCATCAGCATATAAAATTTGAACCAAATCTGTTCACTGGTATTTTACTTATCAAAGATTACTTTTTTTCTTATGAAAAATGGCTACCATTTTGAAATTCAGCCGCCATCTTGAAAAAATTTTCTCGAACAGATCTACTGTGTCCCTAGAAATCATCATATAAAAAATGAGCCAAATCTGTTCACTGGTATTTGAGTTATCAAATATTACCTTTTTTACGAAAAATGGCCGCCATTTTGAATATCAAGCCGCCATCTTGAAAATTCTTTCTTGAACAGATCTATTCTGTCCCTAGGCATTATCATATAAAATTTGAGCCAAATCCGTTCACTGGTATTTGAGTTATCAAAGATTACGTTTTTTACGAAAAATGGCTGCCATTTTGAAATTCAGTGGCCATTTCGAAAATCCTATCTTGAGCGAAGCTCCTTTGTCCCTAGGCATCATCATATAAAATTTGAACCAAATCCGTTCACTGGTATTTGAGTTACCAGAGATTACATTTTTTTACGAAAAATGGCCGCCATTTTGAAATTCAGTGGCCATCTTGAAAATTGTAACTCGAACAGATCTAATGTGTCCCTAGGCATCATCAAATACAATTTGAACCAAATCCGTTCACTGGTATTTGAGTTATCAAAGATTAAGTTTTTTTACGAAAAATGGCCACCATTTTGAAATCTAGTCGCTATCTTGAAAATTTTTACTCGAACATATCTACTGTGTCCCTAGGCATCAGCATATAAAATTTGAACCAAATCCGCAAACTAGTATTTGAGTTATTAAAGATTACATTTTTTATGAAAAATGGTGGCCATTTTGAATTCAGTGGCCATATTGAAAATTCCTTCTCGAGCAGAGGTCCTACACCCATAAGGCATAAGCCTATAAAATTTGAATCAAATCCGTGAAACGGTATTTGAGTTATCGCCTGGACAAACAGATGGACGGACGGACGGACGAACGGACAGACGGACGGACGGCTTTCCTATATCCCTCTCGAACTTCGTTCGGTGGGATAATAAATAAATGAAAAAAATGAATAAAAACAATAAAAATCAATAAAAATGATACAAATTCTCAGTAGAGATGCTAAGAGACTCACCTAGTCTGTTGAGGGGATTGCGCTTGAAAAGAGCACGGAGAAGAGACTGGGCCTCTGGACTTAAGAACTGTGGCATACCTAACTTCGCTCTATAACACAGAAAGTTACTATTTAGTAGCCATCACGAAAATCAGTAATGATCTATTTCATGATTCAATGAGATATCAATATCTTTTCAAAAATAATATTTTAGTATCATTAAGCTCATTTTATTCCTCTATTATATCCAAAATACAATAAAGGAGCCCTGGGGCTCTGTGCTCACACAATGAACTTTTTACATCAAAACTGCCAATTTCACAAAAATTGAGAGGACTTGAGAAACACAGCTAATAGGCTAAATAGATGGATGAACATTGGACGACATCAAGTTGATCTTAAAAACCTCACTACATCTTATTCCAGATATCATCAATTGTACATGTTCCATTTTTTTATTCCTTACCTTCACCTCTCAACAAATATGGAGATAAGATATTTCATTAAATCTTTTTAAAGATATCGTTTAATATAAAATACAATTTTGGATCTTTTGAAGTTATCATGGATATGACTGAGATATTATGTTGGATCTTTTCTCACGACATTACATGAAGCATGATAAGAACTGTTGTCCATTGCTCTCTTTTCACTTACTTCAGTATCTGAGTCATGGTCTCCTTTCTATTTGATCCTTGGAATGGCAATGCACCTGTCAACATCTCAAACTGAAAACACAAAAACACAACAATTAAAGACCTCATGAAATGATGTGAAGCCAAGTTATATAATGCATTAGCCTACTTAGCTTTGTCTTTTAACAAATAAGACAATACATTAACATGCAATATGTCACCATTTGTTAGACACCGACCATCAAACACCAACTACCAATAACTTTCCACAAAAAAAAATTGGAGACTAGAACAATATGTCACAACTTGTGGCGGTGACATGAAAATATGGGAAAGCCTTTTAAAATCATTTATAATTACAAATGAAATAAAGGATGACACAAAATATTGATAACGCTTTCAATTCATTATTTAATTGCTAAATGTAATATGATATAAATGAGGTTGGTAAAACTGTATAGTAAGGTGCCCCAATATAAACATTATACAAATATTTAATTCTATTGAGGTGAATACCTGTGCTTCTTTCACAAGTGATATTCCACGAAGCCCGAATTTTATATCATCTAAATCACTATATGGCTCGTTCTTCTGATTTATTCCTAGTTCATCCACGGGGATGTATAAGTCATGACCGTTGAATATCATTTGATATTCACCGGAAGTCATGTGACTTCCGTTCCGCTAGTTATTTTTTAGTCACGTGTAGGACATGGACCAATAAGAGAGTGAGAAATATGACAGTGATATAATAAAAATAAATATCTAAAATCAATAACAGAATATGGTTCATAACCAAGTTTTCATTTTATCTTACATCATTTGAGAATAAGAAAGTACAAAAAAATATGATTGTTTCAGGGATACTGGTGAAAGAGCTTGATCTCATATACTGCCTACAAATTTTTGTAATTTCTATGACGTCTACTAGAAGTCTGACACTTTTTTATATAATATGCTTAACCACGTAATTCTTTTTTTTCTTGAAATTTCTTATACACATATTAGTTATACCTGGATATACCCTTCATTGGTGGAAGGAGGCCTTGAGCAATATTAGTATTAGTGTATTCTGTATGTCACGTTATACATTTGTGTATGTATGTACTGTATGTGGTTCAAGAATACTACCACTTCCATTAAGCCAAAAACAATTCTTCAATATTAATATTTACAAATGTACAGTAAACGGGTGACACTTCTCGTGTATATTCCCGTGTTTATAAACAAACATGAAATGTACAGATTGGGGATCTGCTTGTGTGATGAATGCTACTATCTATGTCTGATTAAGAATGTGTCATATAATGCCCACTATAGTTAACTGAAATTGATATTATTGATTGATAAAATATTTTTTCAATTCTTTTTTCATAGTAAAAATACTTCCAGATGATTTTATTTCAATAGGTAATGAATTCCAAATTGATGGTGCAGTAAAAGATATCAAAGCTTTTCCATAATTTGTTCGAATTTTGGGTTTGTCATAGTTTACCCTATTTCGGGTGTTGTAAACATGTCTCTCTTGGATGGTACTGAAGAGGTTTGGAAAAATTTTATGATAATTATGGAGTTTATTAATCCATTTGTACATGAAAAGGCATTTCAACTGCTTATTAATTTCAAATATATTCAAAATGTTCAGTTGTTTGAATAGGGGAAGGGAATGTGCTCTGTAGTTACTGTTTGTTGCAATACATGTAAATTTTTTCTGCAAAATATGAAGGGAGTTTAACAAACCACTACCTGCTTCACCCCAGATAAGATTGCCATATATCAAATAAGAGTAAATAAGGGAATAATAGATGCTCAAGAATGCTTTATCATTTAACAATTGTTTGACCCTATATAGAATACCAATGGTTCTGGAGATTTTAGCATTTACGGACATAATATGACGTTTCCAGTTTAGAAATTAATAAAATAAATTGATTCAACAATGTGTATTCGTAGGAGTATCAAATCTAAGCATATGATCGAGTATTGGTATTTCATTTTGTTGATAATTTAACCTTATACATATCTATTGAAATGACTTCAGAATGGCTGAAAAGTAACATGATCTTGGGATCATTCTTGAATTGAAAACTGTCACATTGTGATCTGAGTATTTCAAATGCTGGGCCTTATTTTCTTATGACCAAGATAAAATTTTCAATAATCTTATTAAAACTGTTTTTCAATATATACTTGGTTTTTCAAAAATGTTACAAGCAAGTACATTGAAAATCAATTTTTCATTTTCAAATGAGCAATTAAACATCAACACTGAATTTTTGGCACATTTATCTCCATTACATCACCATAAGCTCCATTATAACATACCATAAGAACACCATAAGACCACCAATCTGCTGCTGTTCCATGTCCCTTTCTATTTACCACCTCTGGTGCCATATATTCAACAGTGCCACAGAATGAGTAGGTTTTACCATCTTTGAACACACTTTCCTTACTCAGTCCAAAATCTGTCAACTTCAAATGACCTTCATGGTCCAGCAGAATACTATAAATAAATAAATGAATAAATAAAACATGATGTTTTCTCTGCCATCATATTGTTACTTAATACTTATAAATGCCAACTGGGAACATTCAAATTAAAAATATTGAAATATGCAATCATTTCCAGCAACTTATACAATCTATCTTAGAAGAATATTGTTAAACATCATTCAGAATTTCTGTCTTCTTTTCAGGCTTGAGGTCCCTGTATACAATTCCTAAAGGAGCATGCCATACTTACTTTTCAGGCTTGAGGTCCCTGTATACGATCCCCACAGAGTGCAGGTGGTTCAAGGCAAGGGCCAACTCTGCCAGATAAAATTTGACATCATCCTCAGTAAACATTACCTGTAAAATATTAAAGATCTATGCATAAGTTATGCTTGTAACAGTTTTTTCAAAACCACAAGTGCAAATGTCAAGTTTTCATTTTTTCCCTCTAAGTCCCTTGAGCTTTTGAATTGAAACTGGACATGGTTCTCAATAGGCTTTTAGATTCTGGGGCTCTACCATAGTCTGAAATATCCAAAATGGCTGCCTTAAAATTTATCTGGGAAGCTCAAAATTCAATCAGTTCTCGATTTTCATACAGACAAATATCCCTCAAAATGTGAAATCAATACCTCAAGTGATTCACCAGCAAACAGATCACAATTTAGCACCCAACGTGTAATAAAAAGAAAACATGAAAGAAAGGAAACATTTAAAATATGCATTCTTGTCTCCCCAAGCTATAAATTATATAGCTGCCAGCTATGCCCTAAGGTATTTTGGTAATGAAGTCAAAGGAACCCTGAACAAATTCAGTGTGCTTTCTGAAGTCATTCAAATTTATTTTTATTACACTGCAGGGCTGTTACTAGTATATATCTTTAAGTAGACATAAGTGTTCACTAGTCGAGTTTACACACATTAGAGTTTAGAGAATTTTAGCAGCAACATACATGTAATAGTATTGTGGAAGATGGCAGGTATCAAGCTACATGGAGACTATCTATCTAATGCAACTAGAGCTGTAGCCTTGATGCTAAGGGCATGCAATATTCCTTTTGACTTTAAATACTGGAGTTTTTCAAAGGCAGATTGTAAGTTAAATGTTCATGATTAACGAGCCATATAGCCTTTTTATTTTTTCGTGAAGCCACTCAGTAAAATTACGATTTCTCCGCTACCTGATGTCCAATCTAGATCATTCAAGTATCTATGTGTTCCTGACACGTTTGGGCATTCAGGAATAACAACGTCTACCCAAAGTGTGCACATGAAATTGATGTAATTCATGACTGAAATCGGGAATTTACATTGCCTTATTAAGCAGGTATAGGGGCAAACAGAACACGGAAGCAAATGCTATGCTGCTGTATTTTCTATATTTCAGTTTGAACATGTATTACATGTCATGTAGCCAGTGTTTTATATGGGGATTATATGTACTTTACTTGTTTACATGAACGTTAATCATTACATGAAATCTGTAGTCTTCCTGGTTTTATCTGGGTTTGTATTGTCTTATTTGGGCTTTTCAACTTTAAAACAAACCTTACCTTAATGGATTTGTGTCTCGGGAACATTTTTGTAAACAGTTATTATAAACAATTCTGAAAGAATATCACATATTTTTGTCTTCCCGATTTCAGTCATGAATTACGTCAATTTTGCGTGCAAACATTGGGTAGACGTTGTCATTACCAAATGCCCAAACGTGTCAGGAACACATAGATACTCGAATGATGTTGATTGGACATCAGGGTGCAGAGAAATCGTAATTTTACTGAGTGGCTTCACGAAAAAATAAGCAGCAGTAAGGCCACCTTAAATCATTTAATGTGAAACTTACTGAGAGAAAAATCATTATAATAATTTATGAGAATGGTTTAAATACACTACGGATGCCAATTTCCTGGAATTTCTGGAGTGACAGACATTTAGAAAAAAAGCTTATTAAAAATTAATTGTTTGGTTTGTTTATCTCGCACATTTAAACTGCAATCGTTTGCAACATTTCAATTATGTTTTGCAGATAAAAGTGAGGAATATTCCAGACTAAACCCACTTAAACGTATACCAACCTTGGAAGTGGAAGGTTTTCCAAATATAATAGAAAGGTATGTACTGTATTTTATTAACATGTGCCTTTAACGTAGTGATTTACATAACAGTTCAGTAAAATACATACAGTAGTTAAAAGACTCCAGATTAGATTTGACCTAGATTTTAACTTAAAAAATGAGATTTAGAAACACTGATACAAGCCTAGAATATTCGGTAAAATTTCATAGTTTGACTTTAAATATGCAACCTATTTTCAATGATGCATGAAATAATAGTTTGCAGATTTCCAGATAAGAACCAGGGGTCCCTAAATAAAACTTTGTAAAAGTTAATAATTTTCAGGCCACTTGTTCTCTTACTTTGACATCATCATATCTATGGTTGCAACAATTGATTTAGAATTTCTTAACGATATAAAGTTTCTGTTAATAACCCCCTTGATACTTGATGCTGGGGATCTGAGTGCAAATCAACAATTATCAACTTTCAAAAAAATTGTTCCTTAAAATATTATTATAGGATATAATTCGAAGCAACGATTTTACACCAATACTTAGAGTGAACCAGATCAACAGGGTTAAGCCTAAAACTTCAAAAAATGTTTAATGTTCTTTGGGACTCAAGTCAGTACTCTGCCAATGCTCCTGGTCATAAATATCATAACACCTCATGTGCTATTTCGAACTCCAGCTCTGCAGCCCTACAATTTCTGGCAGAGGTAGAAGGAGTTCCAGAGCATTGGTACCCCAGAGGTAGAAAGGAGAGATTACTAGTGAACATGTACCTGGCTTGGCATGGACCTGATATGAGAAGATGTATTGTTGGATATGTTTGGCAGGAGGTATATTTTGATATTGAATCTATCAGAGCGGCACTGAACTCAAAAGTTTGCATTCTGTTGCAATATTGGACCACCTGGGGGTCATTAACAGAAACTTCGTAAAGCTATGAATTCGTAAATCAATTGTTGTAACCATGGACATAGTGACATCACAGTAAGAGAACAACAGACTTTACGAATTCTTAACTTCACAAAGCTTCTTGTTAATGGCCCCCTGATTGTTTCTTGTATTAAATTAGTCATGTAGTGCTTAGAAGTAGTAGCATCCTAATTCAAAGGATGTCATTTATGCTTCTATTCATGGAAATAAGAGAAATTCCCTTGGTCCAAGGATGATCTACAATGCCATTAGTTGGGACTACAGTTCGAAACATTTTACTGACCTCATTAATAACTTGTTATTGAACCATACTGAGCATGTACTGCTATTTTTCCACATTGTAAATAATGTTTGCATTGTCACTTTTTGACTTCATAAATGCTTAAATTCATTGAAAGAAGTGAAATACCCTTGGACCAAGGATACAGTAGTAGTAGACAAGAACAATTATGTGCAGTTACAAATATTCACTGTAAAACTATGACTAAAAATTAAAGTGTGACAGGCTCACTGAATTCTATATAAAGATCAATGGGTATTTCAAACGTTACCCAAATAATCCTATTTATCATAAATAAAAATCTGCTATGAAAAATATTAACTTAATGTATTGAAACGATGACATTCCATATTCTTACAGTATGTTGGAGAGCTTCTCCAAGGAAAAAAGTTCAAGAAGGAAGATGTCCTGAAGGCCAAGGAGGATTTGGAGAATATGTTGAACCAGCTGGACACAATATGGCTGAAGGACATGACATATCTGGCTGGTGATGACATCACAATTGCTGATGTACAATGTATCTCAGAGATATCTCAGTTTCTCCCAACAGGTTATGATGTAGGGGAGAAACAGACCAAAGCTGACAGTATGGATGGACAAGGTCAAGGCCAGGTTACAGCCTCATTATGGTATTGTTAATGATGCCCCAATGGCAGAATTCAGGGCAGGTTACATTGAATTGAAATCAGAAAAATAATATTAACTTGACCTCAAGTTTTAATGGATTTAGAAACTCTGCCTTGCCCATAAGGATGGTATATGAACCACACATAATATACATGTAATATTGTGCCATTAATTGTTTACATGTAGCTAAGCATGATAGATCACATATTTTATTAACTGAAATTTTGAAACACAAGTTTCCTCTTAAACACTTTCATGCGTAAGATAAAATGGCCAAAATAAGGCAGCATGGAATGAATGTTGAGCGTAAGCTATGTATTTCCTGGTTATTTATGAGAAATTCTAACTATAACACATATTATTTTTTTGAAATATTTAAGAGGGGGCGCATGTACGCTGCCTGCACCAACCCCTAGATACGCTAGTGACATAAGTGCTGCCATCTAACATATAACAAATATGCCATATAACAAATAGTCTATTGGTTCACCTGGAAATGCATAGTATAGATTCATTGGGACACCCCTCACCCAGCAGACAAAGTGATCACAATATCACCCATCGGTTCGATAAAATCATATTTTTCTTGAGATATTTTAATTCAGCATTACTTCTATCACAGATTAATATGCCAATAAACCATCGGCACATCAATTAAAATCAACTGACAACTGTTCTGTAATTGAATAAAAATTCAGCAGTTCTTCTTGAGCGTTCTATGTCCATAAGGTGCTAGCACACAAAACTTAAAAAGTGAATTCATATTTGTGAATCAAGTGAGTCAAGCTTTTCAGAAGAGGGTTTGTTTCAAAAGTTACTTTTAAGTGTAAGTTACATATAAACCACCATAAAACAGAAGGTGATTAATTTTGAATTTTTAGGCAAGGGTGGGTAGTTGTGAAAATGGAGATGACAAGCTGAAGAAATTCCTGATATTTAGGGAAGGGAGTTTAAAAGTACAAATTAATAGCAATCAAAAAAATGTAAAAACTATAATACCTTGATCAATATGGAACTGGGGAGGTCTACCAACTTAAAGCTTGTGGAGAGAATAAAAAGCTATTCACCCTAATGATTATTTAATCAGTATAATCAGTATCATGTGAAAAATATGTTGTCTAAAATGTTCTGGTAAGAACCCTGCTGGTAAAATGCGAAAACTATCTAGCAGCATTGAATGCTTATATAAAGGATAATATAAGTAAGACAAACATTTCCATCTATCATTGAAATAGGAAGTAGAAGGAAATAGGAAATAAGAAGTAGGAAGTTAAAAAACATGGTCCTGTGCTCACACAGTGTTTTGTGCAGCCAATGATGATTGACTTTACACATGAGAAAGTTCCCTGAAAATGACAAAGTCCTACTTTTTGTCAAATTTTATGGAGAAAACACCAAAAACTGTAATTTCAAGAGATTTGAAATCTTCAGAGAGCATAAGTAGCATA